AGCTTTCGTCCATATATCATGTATATCATCCATTTATCGTATTTTATTTAGAAGTATTTGTATATATGTAGTTTATCGTACTACATAAGAACATCGCCTTCATTTTTGTGAAGAAATGAAAAAGCAACAAACACAATGCAGTGGGCTCCATTTTCTCTCACCAGCTCCCTCACGAGTTTCGCGCCACTCTGGTGACGTCACCACGCAGCCTCGTTAGGACTGTTCCATTTGTGTGACCAATAGGCTACTAAGGAGGAGTTTTCATAGGACAGTCCTACCGGGGACCCGCACTACCTCGGCTGGAGCCTAGGGTTTGGAACGCAGCTAATGATAGTTACTCCTTTAGTAATCTATATATGGTTGCTTGGCAACAATCGCATACTATAAACAAACTATATTTGTTAGTGGAAAGGTGTTTATTATAATTGCTATGATTATTGAAGCATAATTATTAAAATTTGTGTATTTTAGAATATATTATATCGTTGCCATTTTATAAATGCAATATGCCACTTTAAGTGCAGTGATTTTCTATAGGTAAGGGCTGTTTTAAGGCACATTGTAAAGCGGAGTATGAAATCATGACAAACTATGATAAAATCACAGCCTCTAATGGCTTATTATATTAATAAAACAGATCATTCCAGCTCTAATGTCTGATTGGCTGAGCCATTTTTTCACTACTGTAAAATATTCAGTAAATACTAATTTGATTGCAAATGACAACTGAATTCAATACTAATTAAGTTTAATTAAGTTAAAAGTTATTTAAAAAAAAACAATTATGTTGTTTATGGAGCACCTCCAATGATAAACAGCATATTAACCATCCCACCCTGTTTCCTGGATTATCTGTTATTTTTTGTTTTCTATTTTATTTTGTACATTTTTTACATTACAAAGTGAAACTATGCTTTATTTACATTTTAGTGACCCCTTTATTTTAAATACAAACAATGCCACACCATACTTATATGATTTTTACAACATATGGAACATATACAGCTTTTCATTGCAAAGACTCAATTTTTGATCTTTGATCGTACGGCCTCTCATGGCTTATTGCTTTATTGTATCTATTTGTTTATTATTTATATTGTGTATGATATATTAATGTAAGCTAATTCCTCATACATGCAAGTGTATTTGGCCAATTCAGATGCTCTGTCTCTGTTTTTCTCTCTCTCTCTCATTAATCTCACTGGCTCTTATTCCCTCTCTCCCCCTCCTCTACAACACCTACTCTGTGCCCACCCTTTCTATTTTATTACTTCTCCTTTAATTTGCTCTTTCCCTCCTCTCTCCTTCTGCTTCTCCTCCTCCCCCTCTATGTGCATCTCTCCATCTCTCCGTCCCCCTCTCAAACACACTCCATTCCTCTGTGTTTTGCATCACTCCAGGAAGCTGCATTTCATATATTTCCTCACACTCGTTATAGTCACTATAGCCCTGTATCTAGCTGAATGAATGTTTTTTTTCCTCCAGGCTCTTTGGGAATAACATGCCACGCAACATTATTGCTTTTCAAATAATACAATTTTGTCAATAATCTGCTTTGCAAAAGGAGAATTAATATTAGACTTGTGTTTCAGAGGTGCTTGATACTGGTTTTATTAAAGAACTTGCACAAGATTCCGCCTCTGTTACAAGGCAACCTCGTAAAACTGTATTTTCATTTATTATTATTAAAATTATTATTATTATTATTATTATTATTAACCATTTGAAAACAGCAGATTTACATGTTATAATGACTGGTCATGTTTTTATACGTTACATCAACAGATGTTAAGAATGTAATAAGAGCGTGAAATTTGTTTTTCTTATGACAGTGACACTGTTTTTACATAGAAAATCTATTTATTCATTGGTGTTGATTTTGCATTTGTAATAAGTTACACTGTTTTGGCAGCTTTCTGAGGTTTAGTATGTTAATATAAGGGTCATTCCCCATTTGAAAAAATCTTTTTCTTTCACCTCAAAACTAAATAATCTTAATATGTCCATTAATATCTCCTTTTATCATATATGCAGAAAGGAGAGCTTAATTCCAAACATATTTTACAGGCACTGAATATGAATCATATGAATATGATGTCACACCAGTGACTGTGACACCAGTGACATTTTGGTTAAACTGAGGATTTTGTAAATTGGCTGACTCATTGGTGGTCAGCTGACCTTGTGCAACTATTTAAAATCAGTAATAGAAATGATATACGGCATTATTTTGACAAAAGTCACCACAAAACAGTGGTGACACACACAAGTGTCAAAGAAGCAGTTTAATAGAGCAGAAAATACTGTGTTAAAATGTAACATAAGAGTCCTGATAACACCAGTGACCAAAATCTCTGTGACAAATGAATTTTTTAAATAAAATACATATTTTTTTACATGTAGTATAATATTAATGAGATGAAAAGTAAACATGAATCTGTTTTATACAAATTCCTAAGTTAAACCTCTAAAAATATTATTTTAAATGGTCTCTCAAATGTTGAAAACTGGTTTTGTGACAAGCTTTTTTACATACACAGAGCGACTATAAAACAGGATAAAAAAAGAAAAATCAGAGAATCATAAGGGAAATGTATTATTTAATCTTAGGTCAAATGTATAAATGTACCTACCCACTTTTGGAGCTGTGCCGAATATTTTAAGCCTCTTTTTAAGCCCTGCAACCTTTGTGATATGGTTTCCCCTCCAAATGGAGAATGACCCATGATAATATTTTATTCTTCATTATTTTGAACCATTTGTATTGATTCATTTGTCATGAAATGCTCATGCAGTGTAAGGGGCAGCTGCTTTTTCAAATGGTGAAAAAAATAATAAAATCCAAACAATTATGGAGTTTTGAGGTTTTGATATGACAGTGATTATATATTGCAAACACTGAATGAGCATCAACAAGCACCATGTAGCTCAGTAGCTGAAGGCTGTTTCTAGCGGCTCTCAGGCCACACTGAGCCCAATGTGACTGATATGGTAGCACTTTTTTTGCCAAAAGAACCCAGAGGGAGCTGAAGAGTGTGATCACAGAGGCTCAGCCATTCATTCACAAGAAATTTAACTTGCATTATCTTTTACTTGTATTACAACAGTAGAATCTGTAGGAATGATCTCTGCTACTCTGGTAATCTTTCACTGAGCTCCTTTGAAGACTTGACAGTGCCCGCTGCTTCACCAGAGGAGCCATCAAAACACGGGCCATGTTCCTGATCCGCCATGAAGCTTAATCTTCAGATACAAGACATTCCATTCTCAATCCAGAATCGTTTAGTGATTTAGAGCTGAACAGAGTCTCACTGGCTGATAGACATGCCACTACACTGGACTGGAGTACAGGCCAGAAGTAACACTAAAACTCCAGTAACAAGATTTCATTTTTATAGGTGTTTTTTCTACTGGCCCATCATGAAATATGATGGATATTCATGTAATGTAAAACACGATGAAGTGAAAAAATAGAGTTATGAGGTTTTGATATGACAGTGACGTCATTTATGAACATATAATGATAGAAATTGACAGAAAGAATTGCTTCGTAATACAGTATGTTTTTCTCCTGGTCATCACCCTGCAGGGTTTTGTTAGATCCCCAATCAGATCCACCTGATTTAAACTTTCACATTCTACTGATGCCTTGATGAACTCCATTACGTGTGCTACATTCAAGCAATAAGCCACGAGAGGCCGTGTGTTACTGTGATTTTATCACAGGGAAGGGAGTCCTTCCTTGTGATAAAATCACAGTAACACACGGCCTCAAGTGGCTTATTGCTTTTATAAAATGTTATTTTATAATAATGTTGTTATTATTATTAATAATCAACATAAACAAGTATTCCTACAAGAAATGTAGTTCTAAAAGTCAACAAATCTGAGGGCCAGAGAGCGTTTATATTTTATTTAACAATGAACACATCAGAACACAGCACTGTTTAATGCAAAAACCTTCACTTTCTAAGTACTTTTTGGTTATCAAATTGCCACTGCGAGTCTTACATAGCACCAAACCATCAGCATCCCTCTTCTCACACTGGAGCTGAATCTCAATTGGCTCCCTACTCCCTACATAGCGCACTACGTAGGAATTTAAATACTTCACCACAACAGTGCATAAAATAGCTAAAAAATAAGTCATTAAAAATTCCTAAGTTAAGAATTGTAAAACCTCCATAGCTAGCACACTACTTGTGGAGTACAAAAGGCATTTGGGATTCAGCCTAGGTTGACGTGACTTCTGACTGAAATACAGACATTAGGAGCGTGTTATCCATTCAAGTGACTTTCTTTAGACCTTTAGACCTGCAGTTTTACTAGCTGACCAGCCTAGTTTTATTAGTAATAGTAGTAGCAGTAGTAGTAGTGATTTGTGATGAAAAAATAATTGCTAATAAGCAACATCTCTGCAAAATAGCTTCCCACATTAGATTAAAAACTTTTGTCTTTGAAGAAAAAAAACACTTGCTGTATTTTATCATGTTTTGTCCTCATTGTACAAGCTTTGCTATGTGTCTAACAACACCCCTTATGTGTAGTACAGTCATTGTAATGCACATCCTCTCGTGACTTTAAAACCTTTAAAAATCACTGCCTGATTTCAAAATTTTGGCCTGCAGTGAAATATGGGAATATAAAAGTGTGCTCAGTATGTTGCAAGAATAGACTCTGGCTGCGTTCTGCAGTAGACAACTTTATCTCCTTCTCTGCAGCTGTTCGCTATTCAAGTTTTCTCCTTCTCCTCATTATCATCCCCTCTCCTGGTTCTTCCTGTCTCTCTCACTCTCACTCTCTCTCTCTCTCTCTCTCTGCTGTATTGCCATGTGCATCTCAGGAAGAATTGCTGGAGTGCTTCAGGCAGGCCTAACTACTGAAAGTTGTATTTTACCCTACAGACCACACACTTACACAGTACACACACACACACACACACACACACACACACACACACACACACCCGTACACAAGCTCTCTCTTTCACACTCCCTCACCTGTGTAATCTTCTCTGCAGATGCAGGTGTACCCTCCCTCCCTGCGTGCACACACTCCTCCGTTCAGGCAGGGATTAGAGTAGCACAGATTAATCTCGATCTCGCAGTAATCCCCAGTGAAGCCGGGCGGGCAGCGGCAGCGCAGGCCCGCGATTGGGTGGATCGGCCGGAAGAGCATGGAGGGGGAGGAGATAAAAGGGGCGGAGCTGTTGAAGCGCAGGACGCTGATGCACTTCATGTAGTTCTGACAAGGCTCGCGCAAACACACGTTATCGTCAAACGGCAGCACCTGTGTGTGGGAGTGTCTTATTAGGCCAGTTGTTTTGTTTGAACACCATTTCATAACCTAAACCCGTGCTGAAGTCTTGTTACTACAATGAAATTACAACTGTAGTCTAGCAACAAACAACTTACTATACATATCTATACATATGTAGGAACAAAACCTTGTATCTCCATTTTTCTCTCCGATTTTTTAGTTTTTGACATAATACAATTAAACCCATAACAAAGCAAAGAAATTAATGTAAAACTTTCATCATATACAGTGCTGTGCAAAAGTCAGAGATCACCTTTCATTTATTTAATTTTCAGTCAAAACGCCACTAAGTGCACCTTATTCATTTCTCAGGAGTAATTTCTGAGGAGATTAGATATGAGATAATCCACTCACATAAGGAAGAAGAAAGTCAAAGTAAAACAACTGAAAAACAAGAGTTTCCAAAACTGAACTTAACAAACATTTAAAAGATGTAGAGAAAATGAGACTCAACATGCAAGACCAAGAAGACCACCAAAAGTGTCACCATCAGATAAACAGTATTAGCTTTCATCTTTAAGAGATCTGGCTTGAAATCTAAAAAATCAATCAAATGATTGTGAGGAAAATCACAAATGTTCTTGTCCATGCTTCCACTCTGAGAGGACAACTACCCCATCAGAGTCCAGACCTCTTGGATCGTGAGAAGCAGAAAATGCAACCAACTTCTAAGACTGAACTTTAGAGGTGTTAACAAGAAGTATGAACATATATTCCTTCAAATTTCTTTGAAAAACTGAAAGCATATCTACTGAAAAGAATGCTGTAACAAAGTTGTAATAAAGTTAAAAATATTGGATATTGTATTCAGCCGTTGAGGCTTCTGTGTTATTTTCTATTAAATATTTGTTTTCTTTTTTTCCTGATGCTGAAAAATGAATGACTTGTACTCAATGATCATTCTGACGGGAAATTAAATATACAGGACAATCTCTTACATATGGAAAATATTGTAAATATATATGAGTATAATTAAAAGTACCCTTTAAAAAAACTCTTAAGTATATTGTAACTGATGAAATGTAACCTGTGAATGCAGAATGTAAATGATATCTAAATCTCACTCATTGTGAAACTAAGTATTGTAATACTTTATGCATTTATATATAATTCATATTAATTACACTGAACAAATAATCATATACTGCAAACTAAAAACTTTAGTCTTCAAAGCATTTAAAATCTGTTAACTGTGGACTATGTATATGTCAGAAAAAAGTGCATTGTGGGTAAAAAGTTAAATATTTCAGTGTATTAGTGAGTTACCTGCATCTGAGCGAGCATGTTTAGTCTGGGTCTGTTGAGGTAGAGCTGCTCCTCCAAAGCCTCTGAGGGAAAGAAGTGTCCTCCCGGGAGCGCTGCCGAAAAACTGACATTCAACACGCGCTCTGCCTCCGCATCCGGCTGAATGTTAAAAACAAACACGTCGTCAGGGGCAACCGATAGCACCGAGGACACGCCCTCCAGGAAGTGAGAGAGCAGCGGGGACAGGAAGTGCTCCTGGGACATGTTCTGGAGCCGGACGGTCACACTGCTGCTCAGCATGTCCTCAGTGATGATCAACACTCTCAACACACACTGCGCACTGATGCTGTGAACTCCATCTGAGAAATGAGGAGAAAGAGCAAGAGAGCAGGGCTGTTAAATATGCCTGTTTAACCCTTAAATGTAAATGCACAATATGCACATTAACCCTTTAATTCTGAGCTTAAAAAGCCACCTCATAATCTTCTCTTCTCTGAAAAAAAAAAGCTCCATTATTTTACATTTAAGTTCCTGTAGTTAATAAATAATAAGCGGGTTAATAAAATGATTTCATAACACTGTTGTTGTATTTGCTTTGATATGTAAATCAGCCCTGCGATGGACTGGCGACCTATCCAGGGTGTAGCCTGCCTTCCGCCCAATGACAGCTGGGATAGGCTCCAGCACCCCACCGTGACCCAGTAGGATAAGCGGTTTAGATGATGTATGTATGTATGTATGTAAATCAGTGGTTCCTAAACCTGTCCTGGGGGTCCCTGATGGCCCACAATTAGCTCTATCTCTCTGTTTAGAAGTTGAGATCAAGCAAAAACGTAGTTTATCCTGGGAACAAACTGGTTATTTTTATCATTTGCATACTATTTTAAGCAGTTCATAAACATTCGTAGGCTCCTCTTTCAACCATCATAACAGATTATACAAATGGCTTTAGGCCATTTCTCCTAAACAAGCTATATGAACTGTGTTTGACCAACATTAAAAGCTTACAAATGTTTTCTTTAGCACATTTGATGTGGTGCTTCATGCGTTTTATTTTTACGCTTTGTCAGATACAGCGATGTAATCATTGTACAAGTATTTGTCGGTTGTTTATCGTATGCAAACATGTATAAGTACATTTGAAAATAACGTGAACATTTAGCATTAACTACCACATTTGGTCATTTAGAATTCAGATAAATATGTTTCATATTCCTCTATATAAGGTGTTAACATAAGCCATTACAAGTATTGTTGTAACTGAAAGATTAAACATTTAACTTAATAGTAAACAGTTAATAACTAATTCACAGAATATCTTACTGGCACATCTGAGAAATGCTTTTAGAACACATTTCTTAGCTTGTGTACAAATGGTATGTTTTTATTTATTATGGTATTATTAACTGCTTGCTTATATTTTAGTAACCGTTAAGAAGCAAACCTTAAAATAAAGTGTTACCAAAGATTTAATTCCACATAATTTGGGCCTCATGTCCACATGCACTAACATATCGTAAAGGGCAGCTGTTTTTTTCAAAAAATGAAGAACAACATTTTACATACATATGAAGTTTTGTTCTGACAGTGACAATATAAATACGAATACCATATTACTTACTTTTTAAATTTAAAACACTGAATCATGTTTTACAGAGTGCCTAGCTGTAATGACTCTCTCATGGTGTTCATAGGAAAATATGACAGTGTTTCAGCTTAAACACATGGTTTAAAACAGTCAAGTGCATTGTGCAGGTTTTTCAGTCCAAAAAAAAATACAATCAACATCAATGTTGGCTTTTTTTCTTCCGCATTGAAAATGTATCGTATCGTGGTGCAAAAAACATGAGAGATATTGTGAACATTGTGTATCGTTACACTCCTAAAACACAGACTAGCTAGATCAAAATGTCAGGCTTTACAGACTTGTGTGTGCAATGCTGCTGATAAGTATGCCTCATAATAGACACACACACACACACACACACACACACACACACACTTACAAACACACAGTGATAAAAGAGGATTTCAGATAGCGCTCTCTCTCTGCTCTTCAAACTGCCAGCATCTTCCCATTTGAATTCTTAACCCAAATTACCCAAAGACCCCCAGTCTTTCTAACCATACCAGGCATTCCTCTGGAGGTGAAATTAGCAAGTCAAAACGTGTTTTCTTTCAGTTTTTATGTGATCAAGAACACTTTTAAACCCATGCTGCAACAAACAAGGCTAATGTCAGAGAAGATTTGGGTGAATATGGGCGGAAAACGTGCAACGTGAAGTGTGTTTTAATGTCACTGGTTTTCTCCTTTACTAAGGAGATTACTTCCTCCTTTGATGAAGAGAGAGGGAGAAAGAGAGAAAGAGAGAGAGAGAGAGAGGGAGGGGGGAAGAGAAGAATACAAAAAGGACAAAAAAGGGAGGGAAAAGAAGAGAAGAAAAGAACAGTTGAATAGAGGGATGAAGCTGCAAGAGAAAAACATTAAGGACAGCAAGACCTGGGAATAGAGAGAAAGAAGAAGAAGAAGAGGAAGAAGAAGAACAAGAAGAAGAAGAAGAAGAAAGAAGAAGAAGAAATGGCAGAAAAGGGGAGGAAAAAAGGAATGGAAGAGTAAGGGAATTAGATAGATGGATGAAGAATAGAAGAAAAAGCAAGAAAGATTCATTAAAAACCTGTAACAGAACAACAGTAAAGAAAGAAAGAATAGAGGGATAAAGCTGCAAGAGAAAAACAGTAAGTACAGGAGGAGATGTTGACAGAGAAGAAGAAGAAGAAGAAGAAATGGGAAAAGAGGGGAGGAAAATAGTAAAATAAAGAAAAGGAAAAGTAAAGGAATTAGAGAGATGGATGAAGGATAAAAGAGAAAGCAGGAAAGATTAATGTAAAACCTGTAACAGAACAATAGTAAAGAAAGAAAAAAGAAATACAGGATGAAAAAGAAGAAGAAGTAGAAGAAGAAGAAGAACACAAGAAATTTAAGAAATTTAAGAAGAGGGGAGGAATAAAAAAACAAGGGAGGAAGGGAAAGGAGACAGTAGAAGAGAGAAGGGGGGAATTAAAGAGACATGAAGGATAAAAGAGAAAAGCAAAAAAGATGATGTAACAGCAATAGTAGAGACAGGAATAGAAGAGAGAGAGAGTTCAACAGAGAGAGAAGGAGAGAGAGAGATCAACATAGAGAGAAGGAGAGAAGGAGAGAGAGATCAACAGAGAATGAGGGAAAATGAGAGAGACAGAGAGAGATGGGAGAGGTGGGGGAGGAGAGAGTTGGCAGCTGGTTTGATTACAGGATTACAGGGGGCTGACTCCCTACTGACCCTCACACACACAAACACACACAGACACACATTCACGTGCACTAATTGATGCGCACGTCTAATGAACTAAAACGTACACACACTAACACACACTAATACACACTACGACTGTGACTGAAACGTTTTAGGACTCCTTCATCATTACTGTGCTAAATAGGGGAAATACTTACTTTAGTAAAAGGTAAAATACATGAATCAATCATCTCACACATTCTCATCAGCCTGCGTCAGGATTCACCAGGATTCACATAAAGAAACATTTCACAATCAAGTCTCTGCATATGACTGTACATTCAGCTGCAGTACTGATCTTTGGTGTTCCCTGGAAATTATGAGTACATTGTGGGAAATTGCTGTGCCCTCAAAAACAACCTAGAATTATATTTTAGGATTTGGACACTAATTAGTGCCCTAAAACACAAATAAGGATCCATTTCAGTCACACACAAAGAATTCCAACGCTATCTGTCTCTTTCACCCACACACCCTCTGTCCCCTCCAGACAACATCTTAGAGTGAAATGATGGTTCTAAAAATGAGAAATTAGAAAAAAGTCAGTAATTTTCCTGCATAATCTACACCTCCATGTCTAATGAGTAATTGAAAAGATTAACACTGCTAATCACGTAAAATAATACATATATTAGACACGGTGATTATATCGGCACGTTCTGGCACACACAGATGACACACGCTGCAGTGAAAAGATCTGTTTAATCTCTCTTTGTGTCACCAGGGTACAGAAAGCAGATCCTTTATGGATGGATATTACAGTGAATTAATACGCCAGTTAACCATGTCCACGTCCAAGAAAGAGTCTGGAGTTTTTCAGCACTCACTGACTTCAGTCTGGGCTTTAGACTCAGAATCAGACTTGGCTTTAATGGCCAAGGAAATCATTACTCAAGCTAGATTCATTTCACCAACAGAGGGGTTCAGTAATGCAACTGGTCAGTGTTTAGGCGTTTTAAAGCATGATTCATATGGGATAGAGTACTTTCTGCAAAGTGCATGGATGTTTCTACACCGCTGATTTTACTGGGGCACACCTTAAATTAAGGGGGGTGGCCCAACCTCTGACAGTCTAATTTGCTGTAGTCTATGTCTCCCAAGTCTTCTCACTGCTCTACTAAGGTTTCGTTTAGCATGCATGAGAAAAAAGTCATTTGAGACCAAAATCTACACGCCAAAGTGATTTTGTTTTTGTATGTAAGTTCACGCCAGTTAGATACAGGAACAAAATTTTAATGAGGTACATTTTGCAGAAATGTGACCTGCATTTCATAGTAAATAAAATAACTGCCGAATATGAGTATTACATCAACCGTAAATTTCTGCTTTAATTTTTTTTTTTAACCAAAGCACTGCTCCTTTTTACCCATCCATAACTGTTATGCACCTTTTCCTTTCATTTGTTCCTTCCCCATCCCTCCATTCTATCAATCTTTGCTTGTTTCTCCTGCATCTCTGTCCTCACTGATTACTGTAAAAGCACACATTAAACATACATTACAAAAGGCTGTCTGTACTAAACCCCAGCTAATGGGAAAGGCAGCTACTCATACAGTTAATGAGACAAAATACAGTCTAATATACCTGCTGATTTCTTAATAAAGTTAGCTACATGATGCTATCCAATCAAAATGCTGGTTAACAGTAAATTTTCTCATGCTGGTTGTAGTATGTTAGGTATGACTAGGTAACACAATACAACTTTAATTTCTCATCTAAACATTAATATAACTACAGAGCCTGTGGCCTAAACTGGAATTAGACTAAAGCATGCTGATTTAGCCAGAAACATTACGAGTGGTCCAAACAAAAATGAAATACAGGGTTTGCATTTGACAATCTTAATCTGTTAATTGCACTCATAAACTTTTAGCTAGCTACATTTTCCCATAGTGATATTATTTGATAGCATGTGTGCTGCATACCTGAGCAACTCAAGAAGTTACTCTGCTTCTCTGGACAGCATAGCTTCTCATACAGGGATAAACAGAGCAGGCAGTTAAGTCTATGGCTGAACCACAGCTGTT